GCAGGAATGTCACACCAACCCTAGAGAAGCAGCTAAGATTTATTTCCCATTGAAGACTCTTTTATTTTACTAGGTCTCTCTGATCCAGCTAGAAAAATCTGGGTGAAAGAAATACTTTCAGTCCTTCCCTTTGTCAGGAGTTGTGATGTATTAATAGCAATGTAATTTAATTGGTGTAATAGCAGCAGTCTCACTCTTAGTTTTAATTGGGATGGGTGTATATTGCCAATATTTATGGGAAATGTATTTGTTTCAATTCATTTTGCCAAACGAATCTTCAATCAGTTGCAATTAATGTCTTGCATAAAGTTACTTCTGTAATGCCTCCAGCTAGTGATGGCGATCTTAGTGCTATTATAACTTACTGTTTATCTTGACGTGATTATCTTTCAGTTTTGCCACGTAACTATTTTTTAGTCATATTGAGTCTTCTCTTGTTGCTCTGTATCAAAGATTAACATCAGACAACTGGAAGCTCTGTTAGAGCAGCTGTGAGTTGCATTATACTGTATTAGCTGCCTTATTTTATGCAACTTTAATTGTTATTTCCCCAGATATGAAACAAATAGATGTGGAAGCAGAGGTATATCCTTTTTTATGTCACATTAAGCATGCCCCATTTTGAATATTCACACGCTGTATGATATGCTGCAGATTAACACAGAGAGATGGTGGAGATCTTAGTTCGGAATATTCTTTCAAAAATTCCAGCTGCAAATTTGTCTTTAATCACTTGGGAAGTTCTGAAAAACAGAGGATGCTCAATATAGCCTGTAAGGTCGTTTTCTCTATTCTTATCTGAGATAAGGATGCAGGATTGCTGGTGGAAAGCTGTGGTGTTCACTCTGTAAATGCCTGCTGTAAAGGCCTGTGTTACCCTTAAGCTGACACAAAGTAGCCAGTGTAACTCCTTCTTTCATACTTGTCTCATACCCAGATGGATTTTCTTGCTCACAAAAAGGTAAAAAAGATAAAAGTACACTTTCTTATGTAGAAGATGGACTCGGCTGCAGGGTCAGGACAAGAACAGGAAGATTTAGGTGTAAGTGACTATGCCGAATAAGCAAATAGTCCTTTAGTGGACAGCTAGGGCTTGTGTTTCTGATGGTTTCAGATGCTTGCTATGCAGATTAAATAGTGCTTTGATAATGACAGTTTTTAGGAGGCACTTGGAGACCTGACTAGGGGTTGTTGCATCTTGTAACCAGTCTGATTGTGAAACTGGTGTAACATTTTGCAGTAGAGCAAACCAGCTCATATTGCATCAATTTTGAGATCTAGGTACATGAGGATATGGCAGGTATCAGAATAAATTATGCCTTCCCAGTGCAAGGTCTAGAATAGGGATTTTGGGAGCTGAATAGGGTTTTAGGGGGAGAGCAACTTTCTTTTGTTCTTTCCAGATTTCATTTTACACAAATCTAAAGATAATCTAGAGATTGCACATCTATGCAGCTCCCTCTCTAGCTGAAATGCCTTAGAAAATTCTCAGTTTTCTTAAATTAAGTTTTAAATTCTTTTGTCTCTCGTTTGAAATATATCGCCCCAAATAAAAATATATTCACTGAATTTAAGGGCCTAAAATAAATTCTCTACTGGTAGAGACTATTTAAATGTTGCCCGTAGCCTGAGGAGGTAAACTCCACTAGAGGGCAGTTCAGAGCAAGAGTGCGATCAGTTGCCTTGTTTCATCTTCAGAGACCGTCGCAGTAAAGTCTATTCTTGCTGTATTCAAGTAGGGATTATCCTTTTAGCCTGAAGCGTTTTCCGTTGTATCTAAACATGATAAGCCACTCGCTACGTTATATTAAAGAGGAACCTGTATTTAGGGTTAAGCATGTGTAATTGCAAATTTATTGCTTTTGCATACTGAATTTGAGTGTGAAAAAACGCATGATATTTGGACAAACATAAACTTTGGGTGGCATTTTTCTATCTTTAAGTAGTTGTTTTATCTATTTATATCTATATATATATACACACACACACACACACATATGTACACACATGTATATATGTGTATGTATTAGAGTTATGATGAGACTTGTGCACCAGGCTGAAAACTTTCTGAATGTAATTTTGTGTTCTCTTTCAAACTTTTTGTATTTGTGTTCCTAGTTATTTGTAAAAGATCTGCACTGGGTCGGTCCATTGACTTGTGTCATTTACTAGAATAAGCCTAAGTTCAGCCTTTGATTTTTGTCTGGATAATGAGATCTTTCATTTTTAGAAGTATCTATTTGTCACTTAACCCTTAGAGTTAGATGGCTACCTCTTCTTCCAGGCATTTTATATGTCCGTAGTTCCTGGGACAAACCATTTCCAATGACAACAGATTTAGTCCCCACACTAGTTTTGTCAGTTCAGAATTGAGATCAAAAGCAGAATGATGTATTTTTTTTCTTTTTAATCTATTGAGACCTGTGAAAACTAACTAAACACTCCTTAGAATCTCTAATTTTAATCAGAAAGGCATTAAATACAAATACTTATTTTTAAACCAGGCTATTATAATGTGTGAAAAGGACTTAATAAATTTTATTTCTAAAATACGACTAGAATAAATGCACGACTTGTTGCCTGTCACCTTTCCTGTATATAATGTTAGAGGGATGGCTATTTGTCCTTACCAGAAGAGCATTGCAAAGCATTTTATAGTTGTTCTGTCTACATACTAAATGCTTAATCTTCAGATGTTTTCTGTTTATGAAAACATTTGTGTGAGCAGATGTGTTGAGATGTCTTTTCTTTCTTAATAATTGAGGCCAGTACATAATTTCTCACTTACTTCAATATGCTTTTCACTATTCAATTAAAGTTGTTTTGGGTATTTTTTTTTTTATTGAGCAAGATTTTGTTTTTGAAGTGGCCCCACACATTTAAATGGTTTTAATGCTACAGTTCATTCCAATGAGATAATAGTATATGCTTAGTTAAAGCCCTTCAGAGCATTTTTGGGTGGATCCACCATATTTTGTTTGCTAGCCCTGTTATGTTTGAAAATGAAACACTGTTATTTTCTGTAAACTTAAGTGTGTAAATAGCAAAGGAAATGTCATGAATTGCTCTTCAGGGTCTCACAGTCAGCTGCTGTCAGAGACGTGATTTTGAATAAAACTGGTAAACTGGTAGGTTTTTTCCTTGTCTTTTAAGTAGCAAAGACAATAAGAGACGGATTTGACCATAAGAAACTTGTTGAAACCTTTCTTTCAAAATGTTTGAATGCGGCTACATTGACAAAGTCAATGTGCTGGCTGTAGTCTTTTGATATTCCCTGTAACACTGGGTGTAGAAGCTGAGTTCCACCTCAGCTTTGCAATGTGGATCTGATGTCTCCAGAAGAATATCAGGTAATTAAGATAGTTTGTGGCACGATGGGGAAATTGGTATGTCTAGTGGATATTGTTTGCTTGGTATGATTTACTTAATATTACTTGGAGTAACGAAGTGCTTTAACTCCAGTTTGGAGTGATAATTATTCTCTTGCACTGTACATCAGAAGTCATTTATGAATTTTGTGCATAACAGCGTTGGTCCAAGTGGAGGAACTGAGAAAGATTACCCCAGTGAGTAATGATTTCTGTGTGCTGTAATTAACAAAGCTGATGTTTAGACTGTCAACATCTACCAAACAGACTGTATATAAAGGTGATTATTTGGGAGAATAATTGAAAGGAATTTAAGAGATTCAGGAATTTTTATCTTGCAGTATATGTTGAAATATTTTTATTTTAGTACTGTCCACACAGTTAAGAGTAATACAGAAACATTGCCTTAAATGTGCCAGCCAAACCTGACATCTTGTCTGTGACAAATATCTCTTAACTGTTTGCTCCTATAATTAGGGGATTTCTCCTAGAGATAATCTGAAAAGGGAGAAGAAAGATGGAGAATAGCTTTTGAATTTGTTACATCTTTGGGGAGGAGAGACTCTTAAATCTGATTCTTAATGGGTCTGACAGTTTCTATTAGTTCTAGTAATAGCAATCAAACATATTGCTCCTTCCCTGTTGACTTCTTCCCTCTGTGTTGGTGGTCACTGGTTCCATAAAAGAAAACCAGACTTGGCTTTTTGACCACTTAATGTCATTACATTGTACAGGCCCAGTACATTAACTGCCTCCAATTTCAACACTAAATCGTTGGGTTATACTGTGACTGAGAGGCAGTAATCCCTGCCAGGGAAATAGGGTTGATATGTGGATTTGTAACCTCTTCAGCTGATCCTTCATGACCTCCTCACTGGAAAATTCTGTGGTTGTTGTTAGGAGGACATGATGTGTTAAAGCAGAGGAAAGCAAGAGAACATCCTTCTGGCTACAGCTGTTAATTCTGAATTAATTCTGTAGCTGAACAAAACTGTATGTAGTTCCATAAAAGTTTTTTGTATTTTGCATTTCATTGTTGCTCTTTGTAAACAAACTGTGTGAACTTGCTCAAGGGCCAGACTTTTGTAAGCAGTGTTTTATTTTGAAGGTAGCTCTGTTTTGATGTGGAATCAAGTCAGAAAAGTAAGGGAGGAACAATGCATGTGTCTAAACCGTAGTGTCAGGATTTTAGTATTGTTCGTGGTATTCAATACATCTTTATGGCAGAGTGGAGATATCGCACAGGCAACACGGGCCCTGTTGGACAGCAGAGGCATGTAGAGATACCAAAGAGCCTCTGAAATGACATCTGAATCCCACCTCAACTGACCCATCAAATTAAAAAAAGGAATTATATCCAAAGTGAATAAAACATAGCACGTCCAGGAATCTGTGTAGAATTAAGATCAAACATATCATCAACCCTCACAGGATAAATTCAACTATTTGCTCTTAAAAATGTGCAGGAATGAATAGGATACAACAGCATTCATTGGTTGTACAATCTAGACAACTTGTGAACAAAAGCTGATGAAAAATACTAGTTGGTTCCTTTTTGTACTAAAATAGTAATACGTGTTTATGACGTACTTGTCTTTGATTGAATTACTAATTGTTCTCTTTCTATTTTAGGTTATGGTCAGACTGGTCCAATGGTTCAGAGAGGTGGATATGACTCCATTGCAGCTGCTGTTTCTGGTCTCATGCATATCACAGGGCATGAGGTATGGTGCTCAACTTATAAATTGAATAGAATCTTTATGCTATATACTAAAACTTGATGCCCTATGCTAACACATCTGTTATGCATGCCCTCCTGAGTCCAACAGGAGGTCTTATCTCTGGGAATATAAGAAAATGATAGTGCTTAGTCCTATGGGTATCTCACTCCAGGCTTGCAAAGCCAGTGCCTGAGAAACAGAAAATGGAAGAAAAATGGTATCCTAAATCTCTGGTGAATAAATTGACACTGTATTCTAACCGGCTAATGGCCACTTGTAGTCACTTCAGGAACTGCAGTGGACACTGTTGACACCTGAGTGATGGAATCAGACATATATATGGGAAGTTTTACCCATGCTTTGATATCGATATTCCCTCTTTAAAAGAGGGAACTGTGAAGCCATCCATATTACTCTGACAAACTGTCTTTTCAGTCATCCAGCAGAGAGATGCCGTTAGTGGTTCTGGAAAAGCTTTATGTGCCGCTATTCCCACTGATATCCAAAATCTTTGGTAGTTGCAGTAGTGCTGGAAGCATTACTGAGGTAGTTTAGTATCTGGATTCCAGGGATACACAGAATGTGTGTCTTCACCTCAGAAAAATGTTGGTCAAATAGGCGGTTTACTTAAGCTGTCTTGAACCACCTACAGATGCAGGGAATGTGGTCTCCAAATGTCACTTCTCAAGTGAGATAATGTTACAAGTCTGTTCTATGCATCATAAATGCTAGATAGTCTGTGGTGGTGCTCCTGATACTCTGTAAGCAGTAGTGCAGATCTTTAGAGTATGACAGTTGCATGCCCTACATAAACAAGGAGTTTGTCAAGTTTCTGTACTTAGTGTCAGATATTCATGTTTGAGTAGGTTGTTGAAAGCTAACCATGCATGATCTGGACGTAACTCTACTGTAGGATTGATATTCTGCCAATAGACTTGTTTTCTGCTGAGAACAATGGCAAACATCAGAAGTCTGTGCTCGTGGCAATTATTGTTACCAGAGACCTCCTTTCTATTTAAAAATTAAAAAAAAAAAAAGAAAGAAAAAAAAATCAAGCATTGTTTGATTGAGGAAGCTGAAACATCTCATGCCTAGTGTCCTAAGAACGTCTGGCAATTGCTGCCATGTTAATGTTACACACTCATAGTATGTCCCATCTTGGAACACGAGAAGACAGGGAGAAGTTGAGTGCAGTCCTTCCAGGTACTTCCCGTCAAATATATAGTGCACATACACACTGGCCAGTGACAGATCACAGTAACTGTAGTCTGGGTAATTTTTACATTTTGACCCTGGTGTGTGTAGAGTGAAGGTTAATACTTTCAGTAAAATGCCAGAAACTTCACGCACACCTCAAAATGCACCAAACAAAATTAAGTGGGAGTATAAACTGTTAGAAAGGGACAAGTGTTGTTAATAACACATGAATAAAGGGAAGTATGTTGAAAAATTGAAAAAAAACAGGACTCTTGTAAAGGTTTTCAATTATATATGAATGGCAGAAAATACAAGTGTTATATTGAATAACTGCATGTAAATTTTATTTTGAGTATAACAGTCCTCAGTGCCCATTATGAAGATGGATTTTATTAAAAGATTTTGTTAAGATCTACACTGGAGTTCCAGATGTTCGCATCACCTCACCAGGACTTGAGGCAATATATTCATAGGAATCATTTAATCATTGTTAGTAACAGTTCCATCTATTCACTGGGGACTTTTTACAATTCATTCAAACTTAGTCATTCTCTTCCATAATTAAAGTAAACATGTTTAAACTTGCTTCTTATTTTTCTTTATTTGAAGTTGGTCATGTATTATTTCATCACTTTCTCAAAAGCATTTTCTGATGTATAGAGTCAGTTTTGTTTCAAAGACATAAGTGGTCAGTGACTCCAAAGAAGCAAATGTGCCTTTTGTTGTTTTAGTGAAAATTTACTCAAGTGCCTTTAAAATCATATTGTGTGCTTGTTTGGAAGTTACTTTGAAATAACCATGTATTATTAATAGCAAAATCTTTCACATTCTACATTTATGTTCATGTGACTGAGTTGTGCTTAAAATTCCACAAAACTACCTCTAAAAAAGTAGAAAACCTCGTTTCAGTCATCGTGCAGAAAAGTGGCCAAAGATGACAAAAGAATCTTACTTTTTTTATGCTGTTTTTCTTCACTAAACCTTGAATTATTTGTTGACCAGATAACATGTAATTAATATACTAAAAGTAAGATGATAATCTGAAGCGTACCCTAGTAAACTGGAGTATGATTTTTTTTTTTCTTAAAGTGAAAATGCCAGTCTTATTTTTTTTTTTAAAAGTTAGATGGTGATGGTTTTGTATTGCATTGTGGTAGCTATAGACAATCAGCATAACATCAGTATAACAGTGCTCTGTGGAAAGTGCCCTTCAAGTAAACAAGCCATTGAATGTGCTTGAAAGGATGGTTTTAGAGGTATCAGCTGATGCAGTAGACAAATTATAATGAATTCGAGCAGCAACAACAAAACATCTACATACATCACTGAGGTGCTTAGTTTTGAGGTATGTTAATAAATATTTACAGCTCAGAAGGCTGTGTGGTGCTTAGTTGCTGGCTGGTTTTAAACCATGACACTCACAAAGCATTTTAATAATAGGATACTAAAACTGTGTCCTCTATCTGACATTTTAAAAATGGATACAACTAACAGCAATATATATTCCATTTTAGCTTAGAGAAATTCCATGTGGTGAATTTTAGTTTGTTCCAACCATCTGGCTACTGTTTTAATGCCTCACAAAGCAGTTTACTGTTGTAGAACAGTAACTATTGCATACTGAGGCCATGCCTCCAGTCAGTAAAGTCTTATGATTAAGCCATGAAATCAATATATTAGCAGCACAGGATTTTGAGCAAAGCTTAAACCTTCATTGAGTCTGCTCCATATGTAATAACATTCATTTTCTTCGATACTTTATATTTCGTGTAACACTATAATTTTTGCGGCAGTAAAGAGATCACAGTGGAAGAGATAGAAGTTTCTGACTAAAATGTGGGTGTTTAATACAAGTTATCTTTTTATTAAGGACATAAAGTCAGTATAATACAAATGAGGAATGCACCAAGGATATGCAATAATACCACATTTGGAACACAGTAGAAACCTCTTGAAAGGGAAAAAAGATCATATGCTTTATACATCTGATTTCTAAGATCTGAGAGAAGATTCCTACATGAAGGATTTCTGAATAGCTTGCTTTCTTCTTTTGCTAGGAAATGTTGTTACTGAAATGACTTAATGCTGATTTCTTTGAAATGCTTCTGAGCAAAGTGCTGAACCTTGAAATCAAGCTGTAACTTCTGAGGCATTGCAGAGTTACAGGCACAAACAACCGCATTTGTTCTAGTGTTGCTTTTGCTGACTGTACAAAACCACACACACTCAACGTGCAGTAGAATGTTATCTTTAAACCATGTGCAGAAACCTGCATGGAGTTCAAGCTTTTGCACGTGTACTTGATTACCTCTGTATGAGAAATGCATGACACCTGTGAAATTTGAAATTCCAGTGTGTTTATGAAAATTTGCAAGCAGTAGTAGGGAATCTGTTTTGTGTAAATCCGTACCACAAACCCATTTTGAATGAAAGTAGTTGCTTCAGGCCACATTCAGTTTTTCTTTACATAAATTAAAATATGCTAAAAAGGACAAAGTTTACACTGATGACACTTTTATTGTCCTGGACGACATAATTTATAGATATTTCCTGGTTAAACACCACATTCATTTTTGATGAACAGAAAACTTTTACTTAATAGATACATCAGTGCCAGATGAATACCCCTTGGATGAAAATTTTTGTCTCATTAAGGCAATAACTTGAAATTAATTAAATAAAAAGCAATTTGCATACAAATCCCCTTCCATCTCCAAGTGGATTATTACAGGCTATTTTCACTGTTCAGAGTATCTTTATGGTGGTGCGTTCTTTCTTGCTGAAGAAACATTTTTATTTTACTGAACATGAGACAGCAAGACATGATTGGGATCTACAATACCAGAGGGGCCATTCTTCAGCTTAAAACCAAACAAACTGCAACAAAAGAGTACACATGGTGTATAGCTCAGAGCTGTTGAAAAATATAGCCATTGCTGGTTCATATTAGCTTCAGCAGCTATTTCCCATCTGTAAAAACTACTGGACTTAGAATATTTTTATTAAGCGTGTCATTTCAAAACAATTTCCATTTTTAATGGATCATTTTTATATTACTGATGTAAGTTTGTGAAGAGAAATTATGTCAGAAGGCAAAAAAACCCAAGACTCAGAAAAGGAAGCTTCCGAAATGTGTTGTGGCTATCTCTGGGCCAGAATGTGTTGACAAATCATAAGGAATTTAGTAAACAGCAAAAATTAGAAATAAAAATGTAAACTGGTGGTAAGATTGAGCAATAGCAAAGTACAGCGATGGAAGAAAGCATCTGCTGTACTGGAGTGAATCTTCATCTTTTCAAATGAGAAAAAGGGCATGTCCCGGTGCTGCCCCTAACTAGGGTTCAACCCAGCATGGCAGCTTTGTTTGCTTAAAGCTCTTTCTCCCTGAGTAGGACTACATTTTGTCCTCCTACCAGAGCAGTAATACTACTTTTGGCTGGCAGGGGTGGTGGTGGTGGTTGTTACTTTTAACATAATTCGCTTGAATAAAAGCTACTGTATAGATCTTTACTTTGCTCAGGGAAGTAGTATAACTTTAGCTACACACCTGTGCTATGAGAAGCTCCATCCAAAGGCAGGTATTTCTCTGTGTGTAGCTTTATCCTTCATATAAAGCAGAATAAATCCATTTCACACTACTTACAGCGATGCACCTTGCCACAGAAAGGCTGGTTTATGGCACAGGTGGACATTAGCATCTGATTAAAGGGTGAAAAATGGCAGCTACACATGGATCTTGGTAGAAAGACCAAGGAGGAGTAGAAATTGTGTGGACTGCTGTAGAATTATAGGTTGTGAAGTGTTAGGATGAAGTAAAGCAAATGTATTAAAAATAACATAGCAGTATAGTGCTAGTAGTTTGTAGGAGTGTTCCAGTAAGGGGAAATTGTGAAAGTATTTTTAGAATAACTGAGGCAAAGGAAGTGTTTGCTTTAAAACATTAGGTAGTTTAAGTATTTGATGAGGAAGGTGCTGGAATCAAGGCTTGAGAAGGCAAATTCGTATGTAGCAATCTATTGAAAGAATTCTGATTTTTGTATGATCAAAGTGTAGTTTTTCTTCATCAAGGCTGAAATTAATGACCCTTTGAAAACAGTGGGAAGTGTTTTCAAAATAAGAATGTTGCTGCACATCTCTTTGCAAAATCTTAAGGTTTTTTTTTTGTTTTTTTTTTTTTTTTTTTTTTTCTACTTATCCCAGCATCTTAGCTGTAATGAAGAAAGAACAATTCAACAAACTGAGAACTCGCAGCAGACAATATAGGGGAAACATTATTGTTTTTCATTTGTATTTCTCAGCGATATCTCTGAGGAGCCAAAAACTTCTCATGCTAATTAGTTTTCTCAGTGGGTCTGTGCGTATAAAAATAAAGAACTTCCTTTTCTGTTTTTCCTCACAGTTGGGTATAAAGGGAGTGATAAATGGATGGCACCTTTGAGTTGTCCTTTCTATTGGGAAGCTGGAGTAGCTTATCATAGAGCGTGGAGAAGGAAGAAGTAAGAGTTTCTTCAAAACAGAAGTACTTCCTAAAGCACTGTTAACTTAAGGATGTGTAGTTTATACATTATCTTTAATATCTAGGCTATAGATAGCCACAGAGTTATCCTTACTTCAGTTTAAATAACAGTAACTGAGATTTAAAAAAATAACAGCCATATTTAATACAGATTTTATAATTTTGTTTAGTCACATTTATGATATCAATAAAATATCAGCCTTTTCCATCTTACATAGAAAATATTGTACTATTTCTTTTTTATCCCAGAACTGACCTTTTACTGCAATTGATAATGCAATATGATAATATTTTTTTAAAAACAATTTTTGACGTTTATATGACTCAGTATCAGACTTAGATAAATCTTGTTGGAGTGCAAAAGAAAAAAAAATGGTGAAAATCAATTTTAAATTTTTTACGTGAAACCAAGACACTTAAAAATAATTATCGGTAAACATAATCTGCTTGCAATCTTAAAATATGACTGCACTTAGCAGTTTAGACATGACTAATTAAAGTAATTCTGTCAATTCAATTTTGTTGAATTTATGATGGATTATCTTAAAGGCATTTATGGGAACTTTGACAAACAGTTATTGTTTATCAATTATCCTGATTTTAAGTTGGCTTATGGTAGACTGACTTACGTGCTGAAACTCTGAAACAGTCTCATTAGCTTTGCGCTGCTGTTTGTGGACTGTACTTCCAGGGCAAGCAATTGCTGACAGAATCTGAGCATCTGACCTCAGACTTTCCAAAGTAGGAAATGGGAGAACATCTCAGTGGAAGCACCTTTAAGTTCCTATAGTAAAAGCCTACCTTGACCGAAATTAGAATTTCATTTTGGCATTGATTGCAGAGGGGCCGTATTTAATGCTAATGATAAGGAAAGTCCTAAAACACATGATCTAAAATGAAGATTCTTCCCTTGATGCCAGAAAAAGGGATGTCATACTGAAAAGGGTATTTGACCCAACAACTTTTCAGTGATCATTAGTCGGATGGCCAAGAATTTGCATGTATTTACATGTGTAATGTGTACATGTATAAAGAAAACAAAGTTGGTTTTGTTTTCCTACTTGAAGCCTGCAGTGCGTGTGTTGGAAAATACAAAACTGAGATTTGGCTGAGGCAGGGCCAGGAGAGAAGGGAGAAAAAGAGAGTGAGAAGAGCAAAGCAATATGGTTCTGCCTTTCAAACAGACATGCACCCCGTTTAGCAAACTGTGGAAATCCTTTAGATCTTTGGCTTCTAGACATCATGAAATTCAGTTTTCACTGGATTCTCTTGTCCCTAACAGTATCTCTTTCCTTTAAGCATTGGTAAGTTGAAGCATTTAGGGCACAAAAATAGCATAATAAATCATTCATAATTTGCAGTCTGCAGCATTGTGGAGTTACAGCATTGTGTAGGTACTGCCACAATATCTAGTTTTTGTACTTCAGTTCACTCAAAGATACCCTTATTTCTTGCAGTTTGCAACGCAGAAACATAAACATTTCTTCAGATGAGTCTTCAGAATGCGCTATAACAAAAAATAATGTTTTGCCTCTGCTTGTTTTCTTTTTTTGTTGTTTTGTTTGTCTTGTTTTGAAGTGTTTTCTTTTTTTTCTTTAGGATGGTGAGCCAGTTAGACCAGGAGTAGCCATGACAGATCTTGCTACTGGGTTGTATACATATGGAGCAATTATGGCTGGTTTACTTCAGAGGTATAAGACGGGGAAAGGACTGCACATTGACTGCAATCTCTTGTCATCTCAGGTAGGAGTTTTAAAAAATTGCTTTTAGTTGTGTAGATGTTTGAACCCAAGAGTACCATTTTGACATAAATTAATGCAAATTAGTTAGTACAACTAATGACAACAGTAATAATGACAGAAATGGCATTAGTGACAATCTCCTCATTCTGCCACTCTGGAAGTGACCATTTTATACGACATGGTTATAGTTACTAGTGCAGTACGTTTGGTTTTCAATTTTTACAAAGATCCTCCACGTTCTTTGAAAACATGGGTTAATCAAGGTTTATAATATCCCTGAGATTGTAAGTAACAGTTGTAGTAGATAATTTGAGATAGACAAACATAAGTGGTGAAACCACTATTGGAAGGGAGGCCTCAACACTGGGTAGTATTACTACCAGAGCGACTGAATTGTGCAAAATGACCCAGAGTAATCAGGTATCACCCAGGTGTCAAAAGTAACGTAATCCAGGAGGTCTGCCTTTTGACTCTGAGAATTAAAGAATAAAGTAATCTTGAAGATGCGGCATTTTTTCTAGGCACATTAAAGAGAAATCTCATCAAAATTGTTAAGACAAAGATGTTTTGGTCATGAAAGGTACACCATATACCACGAGTAATAGGAATGTTAAATTGTCTTTGAACATTTAAGAACCATTGGTGCAATGATTTATAATTCACAAAAAATGAAGTGATGTTGGTATGAGCTGCATATGATCAGATGATCTATGTTGTCTTGCTAATGTAGATAACTGCTAGCAGCAGCTGGGTATCTGGTGCATAGGAATTTTTGTGTACGTTTTCAAATGTTCATCAAAACTGTACGCAGTACTATTAAAGCTACTGAAGTGCTCTGTTCTTTTCATCTTTATTCAACTGTGGTTTTCTACACATTATACCTGTCAGTACAGTTGAGAGATGATAAAGTGCCCGTTGTGCAAAATGTTGTCCCTGGTATGAGCAGGAGGTTGGACGGGATGACCTCCAAAGGTTCCTTCCCACCTACATTATAGTGTGATAATAATGATCGAGACTAACGATTGAAGTTGCTCTTGTTTTAATACCTACTACTCTTGTTTAAATACCTGCTGAAATCAGATCTGGAAAGGAGGGGAAGCCCTTGCTGAAATCAACAAAGAATTTTTCATTTGTTTCAGAAACGTTTGTAAGGTCTGGGCTTTTCATCATACTTATGTATGTTTGTAAATGTTGTGTCTGTATTTGAAAAATGTAACAAGCAGTTAGAAAAATATTTTAAATGTATGTTAAACTCTTATTAAATATTTTGTATATATATGGAAGTATTTTTTTTGTTTAAGGTATCACAATGCTTTATATTATGGCAACTTCTCCTTCATCTTTGTAATTTCTAATTTTTATTAAAAGGACTTGTGGTAATTTCTATTAATTTCCAGAGTAACTCTTGTTATTTTTTGATTCCTTGTTCCACTGCTTTTTGGCTTTTTTTTTAATGGAGCCTTCTTAATTATTTTTTAGTATCCTATGAAATGATGATTATAAGAACAGTTGCAGTTAGGTGTTGCTGTAACTCTCTTATTTTATTTCACCTTACATTGTCATCTCATTTGTCTTTAGAATCTTTTTCCTTGGTTAGGACAGACTTGGCTATGTACAGAAGTGTTCTCATATTGCAAAATTTCCATTTGAAGTTCCACATCATCATTCGTTAGGCCACTCACTGGCATACAAAAGAAATGAAAACTTGAGTTAGATGTTAGTGAAAAAATCATGATATGTGCTGTTTGACTTCTATGTGTTTAGCTGAAGAAGTACTAAATGGTGAAGGGAGAGTTTGATGATTTTTTAAATTGATTTTTTATTATTGTTTTATTGATTGATTTTTTTGTTATCACATTACAGTTATCCAGAAGTTAAGAAGTAATTCCATACATTCACACTCTTATTGCAAAATATACTTCAGTGTTGAGTAAATGAAACTGAAATAAGTTGGTGTTTTGGAAGAGAGCATGGGTATGACCTGTCATTCAGAAAGAAGCTATTTTGTTTTAGATGACATTATTCAGCCCAAATTAACTTTAGGGTGTTGGCCTCAGACTGTAATGAGAACATTTATTAAATTGGAAAAAATATTTGTGGATGAGATACTGGGGTCCCACGTGATCATTCCCATTAAAAAAATGTGTTAAAATGAAGAAAAACATAACTGACAGCTCAGTCTTTTCTGAGAACAGCTAGTTTTCCTGGTTCATTTTCTTTCTTTTTACGACGAATTGCTCTTGCAATACTTTTGGTGGTAATTTTTTTTTTTTTAAATGGAAAGTTAGATAATTGCTGTGATACGATCAGGTTCTTGAAAGATCCATGCTTTCAAAGGGATTATGGTTTTTCATACCAAGCTGAGATATGTAAAGCTAGCTCTTCTTCATTTGATGAATGTTTAAAAAGAATGGCCTTTTGAAGTCTCTCACGGATTCTGCCAAAACAATAAGGATCCTAAAGTTGTAGATTTTTAGTTTGTTAGATTCTTGTTGCAGTTGATTAATGGTGGGATCTAGAGGTCAAAGAAATGCATCATGATAACTTTTCCTTCAGTGCGAGTCTCACTGGAGCGTAGTATTTTCCAGTGAGAGAAAAAGGAATCTTTTTTCTGTGTGTAAAACAAAAGCACTACTGAACCATCCTCCTATTAATAGCATTACGACAGCAGGGACCTGTAATGAAACTTTTGGCTTTTGTCAGTATTTCATGCACTGAGCTAATATAGCAGCATGCTTGAAACTTTTGTCCATCCCTTCATCTGAACTGAGAATCATGAAGCTGGCCTATACATATGTCTTCACGGAGCAGCGTTGATGACTCTGACTATGTCAGAAAGGGAAAAAACCTGCGGGGTTAAAGCACTTAGGCAATTAGAAATCCCTGAAAAATGCTCTGTGTGTTTTATGGAAAAGCCCCCTAGCATGTACGTATCCAGTGTCTGTGCTATCACGTTTCTGTATGCCTTATATAAATGCAAGAGGATTTTTTTAATGGGGTTTTTTTACGGGGAGGGCGAGGGCTGGAGGATGCTTTTGATACAAATTTCCTGCACAGATATGGTAGTGACAGAGAGCATTGAACTGAATTCAACTGCCAATGAAAACGATCTGAAGCTTTTAAAATAAATATCCCACTGACTGGCAAATTTGTTTAGTATTTAACTGGTCTGTGTAGAACCAAATGATAAGTAAAATCCTGTTCTCTGAAGAAATGATTTTTTTAGGTTATCTTAAAAAGACCTCTTTCTCTCAAATTCTGTATATCATACATTTTTGCCCTATAGCTTTATAACAGCAGCTTATTGCTACCAAAGAGGATTTCTTTCCCCACAATATAGAATTCTAGGTTTTTATTGACAGGAGAGATACGGTGACTGCTAGGATGTGGTTTTGCAGTGAGCACTAACTTTCTATATCTCTCATCTATAAACTTTTAACCCATGTCATACAATTCCTTTGAAATTTTTGACTTTTAGATGATTTACAGTTGTCAGCTCCAGACCTTTCAGCATCTAAATAGTGTCCTTTAGATGATGCTAGTAAATAAGAAGGAAGTGGGTTTTGGATTTGGTTCCAATTATGCAATTGTGCCTTTTCTTCTGTTGTGGCTTAAAAAAAAAATCTCTTGGAAGTTTTAATATCCTTCCTGTATTTAATTACAACCAGGCTCCAACAAATACTGTAATAAGTTGGTTTCTCTTGGATTGAAAGTCTGCAAGAAGTATTTCACATTGAACATTTCTGCAATTTTGGAGTGTATTTTTTTTTTTCCCAGATTCCACAGACAGGATAATGTGGTTAATACTGTTTGTATTATATGATTGTTCATCAGACACTTCTCTGCTTCTCATTATTATGTTTTAGCTTGTATGTGCCATAGCAAACTCTTAATCTTCTCAAAAATTTGAAGTGACCTTAGAAAAGCCTACCAAATTGGTATAAATTATTATCTGTATTCCATCTTTGTGCTTTAGTTTGGCAGTTAGTTTACTGAGATAATGGTGAGGTTTAGAAACTATTAGTTTTTGTTTCTGCATCACTTTTTTCCCAAGACGACTGTGTGTAAGGCTATCTATTTAAGTGCTTTTAGTGCTCTCTATTCAGGGCTTTAATGACATGTCTTTTACAAATTATTGAGTATAGGTGAAACTGGTGACAATTACATACTGCCTGTAGGATATATATGACAGCACAGAATCCCCGAGTAGTAAGCTCTGTGAGAAATATCAATCTCAAATGCTGTTCAGGTGTCTTGACTGTATCTTGTTTCACTGCTTGCTAACTGAGAGCTGTGAGCTGACTGAATACAGAGAGAAAATCTGCTTTTTAAGAGGTCATTGCTGCTGGTGATTTTGGAGGCCAGCTAGGAGGACTATTACACAGTTGTCTTGTTTTTGGGTATGGTTTGAATAAGCAGTTCTTTTTTTACAAGCTTATAAAGCACCATCTTTGCAAAACATTGTATTCTTCATCGCTGTCATGATAAAAAATTGTGTATGTGCTGTATGGAGATGTCTTTTTCACTGCATAGCTCTGATATGGAAAGATAATAAAACCTGAATTAATGTGAACGTTTCTTTAAATATATACTGTGCATTAAACACTTTTCTTGGCTACTATTCTTGATAATTTCCACTGAGAACATCAATATAACTAAGAACAGAAATTATCCCTTGGCATCTTAAGTAGTCGGAATTTTATTGAATAGACCAGAAGAAGACCATACTAACATGACAGTAACTCAATTTAATATTGGCCTCTGTGGAATGTGTGTTGTGATTTCTAATGATTAGTTATGCAGAATTCATTGGTAGTTCATACTCCAACTGGATCTTGGATTTATTTAGTGGCTTCCTTTACTCTGTAAAAAGGGTGCATGCCTATATTGCAAGGGAATTTCTTCTTTAGCTTGCTATCTGTCAGTAAATTCTGTGCCTTTTTGTCTTTGCTACTATTGTTCTTGTGGTAATGAAACTAAGCCTGAATGTGTTGCAGCTTA